GGTTTATGGTAATGATTTAGAGCACTGTTTTTGGAAAGTGTTATGAATCGAAGGCGTAGCTTAAAACGCGTTGCTGTACTTTGTATGATGCCCTACACTTGTGCCCTTTGTATTGGTTGGCCGAATCGCTAACTGAACACTGCACAGTGAACTTTACCTACTGTGAGCTGCTTCTAGTCAGATGTAAGCTTGAAACTTGACTTCAGCTTATATCCATGACGTGTGTGTGGTTGTATACGTCGCGCTAATTTGTGCGAAGCTATTGCACTTCGATGTGTGCATTTGATGTATAATTTCTTGAATCGCCCCCCATGCGTAACTCATTCGAAAGCTTCTTTGAACCCTCCTTCGTCAAGTTCGAAACTTGCCTGCTAGACCTTTTGATCTATTTCTTTTTTCGTTAATCGGCGCATTAATTTACGATTCTCAATCTCTGATTATGGAACTGCATATTTATGGCGTCTGGGTTGTGACCGATAGGTTTAAACAAATTTATCGTAAGTTGTAAGGGTAGGTCTCTTTGGTTTTCTGGTTTATTGCGTGTGCGAATTCACGATGAAATCGCTTCCATTTCACATGAACCACTTTGGTATATGCTTTTCGTCTTGAGGTTGCCCTGCGAAATCTTTCCGAATGGACTTATTTAGAGGACTTGTTGCCGAAAACTTAAAACATATATCAGCAACCGCCCACGAGGATTTTTGTCTTTTTTAACCACATATAGGCATCTTAACTACCAACCAGTCATGTGGGCAGCGAAGCAATGGGTCCACGTAGCTTTTTTGACAATCAAAGCAGCTGTTTCAGGTTGCTGCAGTGTCATATAGTACCTGGATCAGGGCAACATTGATTTAATTACAACTACAAATGAATAACGTGACCCTGGCTTAAATTGGTCAGTGCATCAAGTCCTAGTTGTTGTCATTTTTTAGAAACTGAAGTTTCCATCTTGGCGCTCCTTCGATAATGGTGTTGCTCCCCGTTTTAATGTGGTTCCCTAATAACTCTGGAGATGCACGATTAGTCGGCCAATGCGATGAAGCGCTTGTCGACTTTTAGTAGTTCGCTCATAATTTTTCCGAAATTGGGTGTTGAATATGTGATGCTTTTCTACTTGAGTTTTTCGTCGATATCAGTGATATCAGAACGGGGATGGAAATATGTTGCAAAACAACTACAAATATATAACCTTTCTTATGGTCACTTAATTGGCTCAGGAAACATTGAACTACTTAAGGTGACATTGGCACATCTGGTCGTCTTGCATTCCTCTTTGTGGAAAAGGTAATTGCAGAATTATTCGACTGCTCCTTTGCTCTCCATGTGATTGCATTGATTGATTCCCAACAGGTCAGTGTCTCGACATTTACCCTTGTAAAGTTAGCCTGGCACCGAGTTCAGCAGTTGCGGTGATCTTCTTTATCAGCGGTTGCATGTGTTGCTGACTTTGTTTTTTTCGGAGTTGGTTCCACTCTGTGTTTTAAGCAAACATATTATCTGAATGCACAATATTCGGTCTTGTGAAAATGTTATCTGTTACATACCAGTCTATTGTAATCTGTAACTCAGAGGCTTGGTATTTTCTACCACCTGCCTAATATTTTCGATCTGTTTTTATTAAAGACATCTTGTGACGTTTGGATTTTGATTCTGTAGTCAAATTCAGTGGATCTACCTCTCTTGACACTTGGAGTCTATTAGTAGATGCTTCAAAGTCATGGCTTGATATTAAGCATTCCCTTGTGGTAAATGGTAATTATCCTGACCTGCTTACATATGTGTTCGAACAACCGACCATTTGCATAAAGGATTGGCAGAATATTTTTGTTTATTGCTATCCAGAGCACATGCAATGAATCCGCCACTTTAAGGGTGTCAATGAAGATTTGGCCATTTTCTGCTTAGGGCTTCGAAAACAATCGATCGTTTTTGGCAAAATTGTCAAAGATGGGTTTTTGCTGCTGCGATTTCCGATTTGAGGGACTTTACGTTTTCGTCTTCAGAGCCATCATTTCAGGTAATTTGCATCAAAACAACTCTTATTAGTTGTTTCTTTGGATGTAACTATACCAATGCAATCAAGACGTACATGTTATTTATGGGCTTTGCTGATCATGATGAAAGAAAATCGGTTGAAACCGTAACTCTGTGCTGATTATTGGCGCCGTGAGGTCTCGTCCCATTAAGTTTCAATGTTCGATCGATTTTTTACAGCGGAAACAGCAGCATCTTTTTTCTGACGATCGAATTTTTCCAACTAGGGTTGACTAATGGTCTAAAAGTGTCAATTTTTGTTGTCACCTTTTTGATCCTGAATTAGATACCCTCTATCGGTTGTAGGTGAAGTGGAGTGCTGTCAAGCTCAGAATAAATGTGAACAGAAAGGCTTTTCCCGTCAGAATCCCTTATTTAAGTAGCAACAGCACAAATTGGTTAAAGCCAGTTCCCCGGTGTTTTAATATTTTTGGTCTCAACCGGGCTACGTATTGAGTTGAGATTAGGGGCGATTACACCTCATCGCCAATTCATCCTCGATTTCTTCTTTGTTCTGGTGTTCTGTTTCTGTTATTTCTTATGTTATGGGATGCAACCCAGTGAGAACAAAAAGACAGCTAAATTCAATTCCCAGATTTGTATACATGCAGTGGCGCGGAACTCTTTGCGTTCATCATGCCAGATCAAAGAGCACTGCAGTTCAGACGTCTATCGCTTCCGTCTTCCGTCTGGAGGGAGTGCGAAGGTATCCACTTCGTCTCATTTTTTCTACAAAGAGACTCTGATTAGCCTGTTCACTTTATTTCGAGCAGTCTGTCAAAATACCGTCGAATTCGCAGGCCTTGAACTCGTGTGTAGCATTGAAGGTAGCGTAATCGTGTTTCGTTTTAAGACCCAGACGACAGAATACAGATATTTGATCAATGACTGATTTTTGCTATTTGTGCTGCGTGAAAGTTTACGAACTTGTGTTTATTTGAGCCTTGCGTAAATGAATTGACACCTCTTTGAATTACGGTTTACTTCTAATTGTGTACTCTTCTCTTTCCCTTTACATATATAGGGATTCTAAATTACTTGGTGGATTACTACGGAGTTCTCTCCTTTCGTTTAAACAAGGTCTTTTTTGTCTGAATGGGGCGGTTAGTCTACCTGAGTCTTCTGATTTTAGTCCAACCAGTATTGGCATGCATAAAACTCCTTTTTTTTTCACGTAAACGCCCTCTGAGTCAGCCCACTACCATTATTTATTCAGCCCCTTGGCTGCCCTTGCAAGATCATAGCAAGGCTGGCATAGCATCAACATCTATTTTCGGCGTAACTTCGGTGTTAAAAATTTTGTAATTAAATACAATTTCCTATACGTCTTCATCTTGACTGGTGTCAACATTTGTAATCTTTATGCTAGGGTTGAACTGTACCCAGCTTTCCTACTTCACTCTAGGCTTGTTTGATTTCTTTATATCCTTGCTACTTCTCACGTAGTATTCCATTCTGTTCATTGAAAGCATAATTGCACTATAACATCGACATTGCTCTGGTCACAAAATTGTAGGGCTTAACTACTTGTCGCCTAACTTCTTTTTCCACCAAAACAATACTTGTTCGCTAACACTTGGAATTCTTTTCCACCCCTTAACCAAGTAAGGCATTGGGTGACTATAGTTTGATTTGTTTACATAATCCATTCTCGAAACCAATTTTTGTCTGCAACCAACTAATGGAGTGGTCACTTGCACATTCACTGAACCATTCACAAAAATGTGCCACTGTCGTAGTACGTTCTCATTAGCGTTGCTTTGCTCCTTATGTTTATGGCTTACCGACATTATCGCCATGCATGGAAGCTAGCGGTCTAGTCCAAACTAACATTTTGGTATCGCTGGTTTGCCTTGGGTTCATTGATGTGCATGTCCAACTGCACCAAGGTGAGGTTTTGTTCCGTAGGCCAGGATTCATTCTCCACTTGTTACCTATCAACATATTAGTAGCAATCTCATTATTATTCACGCTGATACTTGGATTTGGTGGGCTGAAGGAACGAAGCACCTCAGGAGCTTTATTTTATTTTTAGCTGCGTACTTTCGACTGCGAGAAGACCATCACACCATCTTTTGTGTCACTACAGCTTCATTCGTTCAACTACACAGGAATTGAATTATCTTTCCTATACCGCCTAGACTGCCGTTTATTGTTAATCCGTTGTACATACAATCACGGTTAGTTGCAAGCCTTTTGTAGAAGCTGAAATATTTTTCCAGACATTAAATACATCTATCTTCGTTCAATTCACCACTCCCTGGTGGAGAGGAGCACCTTCCCAACTGCCAGTAACCACTTTTTTCATTCTTCGTGACTGCTTTGTGTTTTCTCGGTAGGCGCTATTCCCACTCTATTAAATATAGGATCCCTCTAACCGTATATTTTTACCTGTTGGCTGAGAGGCACGTGACGAACTCTCGTGTGTGGTTCACACTTGGGTGACTGCTTTAGAGCTAACATGTGGAGATAACTGAACTTCATATCGTGTGATAGTTTTGCGACCAAATTCAACCATAGAACCACCGCCAACTAGTACCTTTCATCCCACATAAGCTCTGTGATGGCTCTAGAAACGCTTGCAAGATTCTAGGTATCACGAGCGGAACAAACGAAAGTGCGCACCAGCTACGGGGCAAGGTAATAGTTGTTGCACACCCCTTTTCCACTGTCCCCAAGGTGGCCTATTCAAAGGGCTGGAAACTTCAAATCAAACTGGTGGTTGGAATAGATACCACCATTATTGTGTACTAAGAATGGAACGCAGTGTATGCAAAGTCTGTCTTTTCCTAAGTGAGCACGCACTATGTATGCATAGGGACGAAAATGCTATGTACAGAGGCGAGAATAAAATGTGCGTTTCCACGATCAGGCGTGAAATCTTGATTTTTAGTGAAGAAACTTAGTTAACGAGAAAGACATGAGTGACTGAGATGGGAAGAGCATGGGTGGAGTGTAAATGGAAGTCACATATCCGTCGGCCCCTGTGAGGACGAAGAAAGGTCATGGCCGGCGGAGGGAACTGGAGAATGAGCGATGTTCTGGCTCTGTCGTCGTCTTCGGCGAATGCGTATAAGACCAGGACCGGTTGCTTTTGCCGTCGAAGTGGAGCCTTGCATCGGAAGGCATCGCGAGGTAGAAGCCTTTGGTGAGATTAGAAGTTAATGATAAACATATGCAAACATGCGGGCCCATTAACTACCTAAGGAATTTGGCCTATCGAAATCGAGAACGCAGGTACAACAAGCCTTCAAGTGTTGTAGAGCGCACGAACGGAAGTCAATTAAGGGAATTTCTGTAAAATAGTAGGTCTAAATGTTCGGTAAGTCCGAGATGTTCAATGTAATTGAAGCTTGGCGCTGCTTGCTAGATTGACTTACGCACTGTTTATCCATGTGCTAAGCTTAGATTTCTAATGTCTGGGGCGAAGAATAAGCCAAGTCATCGCCAAGTTTCGGATTATAAAGAACCACTGCGCGCATCAACTGTAGACAAGACACTGCACTCTGTGAAGACCAAAACAGACGGAATCACGTGGTTCACCATTTTTGAAGTACTAGATTCGGTGTGGGATGCCGTGGCAAGTACGCGAGATTAAACAGCAGATTAGTGATAAAATAACTATCACTTCTCTTAATAAAAAATTCCGAGTTTGAGCCCTTCCAATAGCAAAGCAAATTTTTGGGATGTTGATACGCGGAAAGTGTATTGCTAGCTGGTAGTCACAAACTGAAGTCTGAGTCGCATTAGTTTTAGCAAGCTGAGCAGTTAGGATGGATACAACTACTCATTGCATCAATATAAAATGAACTGAACTCCGAATCGTTGGTGACCGCATTTTGACCCGTAACGCTCAGAACTGCTTCCAATCACTATTGAGAGGAAAACTATAGTTCCATTACACGAGCAATCATGTCATTATAACGGCAAGACTGCAGTCGATGTGTCTATAATCAGTAGCGAGCGAAAGAGACGTCGTGGTCATCTTACCCCAGGAGTCGGTATGTGGGTCGTAGAAGTGGATGTTGACGCCGCCACGGGATTAGGAGAAGCGGGTGGGAAGACACAGAGAGTGGGCTTGGGAGTGTTTTCGGGTTCATCAAGAGACCCAGGGAGGTTGGAGCGTGCTGCAAGGGGACCGCCAGAGGGAGAGCTCGGCTGATCAAGTCCCTCGCCCTCCGCGGACAAAGGACTTGAGGAGATCGATGTGGCTTCCAATTTTGGCGTACCTGATGCATAGCGGTTGCGCTCGCTCAGCTGACGAAGCAAGGGCGTCTCTGTTGACCTGAGGTAAGAAATAACAAGGACTTTGGATGTAGCTAAAATATAATTAGTTTTGTACCATGAAAATTGCTGTCATTAAAACTGAATCATATTACCGGATTTTCGTTCAGCGCTTAAAAAGACAAAAAATACTCGATGAAAGTCCATCTGAAAGAATGTACGAAAGATGAGGTGTGCCAAAAAATTAACAATAAAATGCAAAATTAATTCTGTAGATGGAAAACTAATATGCTACGTAGCACATCACCAGCGGTTCTGAGGCATTAAGAAAGGAATCAGTTATGCCGCACGTTGGATGGGGTTTCTTAACAAATCGTAATTAAACGCTACCACGCTAAACAGGATCCAGGCAGTAGGCCGAGTAGGAAGTGTTTCAACCGGCATAGCTACCAACAAATGCAATGGGCAAAAGATAATGGTTTTATCATGTTTTCATACTTTAATAACGTTACGCACAAATGCTTCTATGTTAATTTGCACCACAGAAGATGCAACGAGCAAACTACCTGCGCGGTTGGAGATGCAATCGACTTGACATAGTGGTGGGATCGATTCGTCTGATAGAGGTGGAGAGGACAGAGAAGCTGTGACTGTGGTGCCTCGATGGCTCATGTGTAGCCTCGGTTGATTTCAGACTGGAGACCAGACTATGAGTGGTGGTCTCACCAGAAAGTTGCTGTCTATGTCGCTGTCTGCGCTCAATTACAAGCGGCTGACCCTGCTGTCCTGGACTCTGCACATTTGTGGTGTTGGGAGCTCGAAGCTGGCCAGAACTTGCAGAACCCGCATGTTTGAACAAACGCCGACCGCCACCGCCTTCCATGCCACTTTCCTCTCCTGAACTGGCCGCCTTAGGACCTCTTGCAACCAAAGCTTTGAGCCGTCGACTGGGGCGTGACACAAGACGACCTCGAGCACGCCACCTTCCATCTGAGCGAATGTTGCTTTGGGCAAAAGTTGTTACGAGGAGTCTGAGGGGTGCCGGAGAGGAGCAGATGAGCTGCACAATCTCAGTGTGTAGCCGACCTACAACTTCACGCCCATTCACTCGCAGAATGACATCGTTCTCACGCAGGCCAGCAGTATATGCGGGACCCTTTCTGTCGACACCTACAACAATGTGATGTAGAGTGTAGACGTTCGACGAGCCGTAGAAAACGTCCTTGGCACGAAGAGTGAAGCCGTAACCGCGAGGCCCACGTTTAATGGCGACTGTGCGGGAAGTACCAGAATTATCGGTAGCCAGTCGTGTGTTTGCAGAGGACGACTTTGTGGTGGTCTGAGAGACAATGGTTCCAGGGACAAGAGAGCGACTGGGGCTGGATGCTTTCCGGCGGCAAGGAATCGGCAGTTTTGATGGCTTCGCCTCCTTCTTAATGCCCGAAACTAAAGATATCTGAGTAGGTGAAAGCGGCTTTTCTGTGAAACCGCTCGGATCATTGGACGACCAAGCCGGCGACACTCGTTTGGTTTTCTGTTGAGAGTTATTATCGCGAAGATGAATATCTTCATCTGTACATTCCTCCAAAGTCTTAAAACAGACAAATAGGAACGATTGATACCATAAATTAGATATAAGTAATAATTAACAACACCAACAGAGTGAAATCTTTTTTCGAGTGTAGTTAAACATTTGCCTCCAAAGCTACTTTATGAAGACAGTAAATTAAACAGATTGTTGAATTTGTTGCGCCTGGAAACGGGAAATTCCGTGCAATTGGTTTCAATAGCTTAAAGAATGAAATTGTAGCGAATCAAACACTACAACTTATCACAAAACAACTGGTTCGTGAGTTTTTGCCGTGTAAATTTGCTTTTCACGGCTCCAGTTTACAGGGTCAAGATAACACAACTCCCTTAGCGTAAATGGTTTAAATGGCGCGTGCATCATCAACCAAATGCCATTATTCCCAGTTTTTCTAAACTCAATAAAATACATGGAACAAGTATTTATTTTGAATTTCAAGGCCAAATTCGGTGAATGAACAAGTGAAGTAGATCGAAAAACTGAAACCTCAGTAATTGATACGCACACTTGCAAGCGCTCAAACAATTTGAATAAACATTGGAATGTGCAACAATAGTAGTCGTAGGCAGGTGTAAGAAGTTGTGTTCGAGTGCACATAAGCATCTTATGTGCCGATTTTTTTTGCTTGAAGCAAATACAAAAATAGTGAAGACGAAATCTGATTTGAAACTCACCCGCTTTTTGGTTGTGAAGGCGTTTGAGTTGCTGGAAGAGTTCCCGCAGGGAGCAGATGGGACTACCGCTTCCAGATCACTGTAGCAAGCATCAGAAACAGTAGCACTTGTGGAGGCCGATGGAGACAGTTGTCGAGGTGATTCGTTCAGCCCACTCTGCTCCTTATCCAAATGTCCTGACTTTTTAGGAGTCAATGAGGCATCCTTCCAAGAATCAAAACAAAACAAATGAATAGTGGAACTGATTTATTTCCATATGTCAACTGTGATAGAAAGGGTTATTCATAGATTGAGAACAGCTTGGGGTTATTAAAAAAAAGTGGAGATTAGATAGCTAAACTCATAGTTGTGATGGGGTAAACCAGAAGAAAACGCTGTACGCATCAGAACGTGTCAACAACTTATCCACATGTGGTTCGCATGACTACCTACAGTAGAATCGTGTTTCAACCTGCCTCTACAATTTCAATTCACATACATGCAAAGTGCGCAGTCACAAATAACGTAGCAATCAAGAGATGTCATGTGACTCCCTATTGAAACCGCCAATCCGAAAACGACGCTTACACGGTGATTGCATTGTTGAGCAGACTAGAGCTAAAGACTTTCAAATTCTCTCCACTTTATCCTACCAAATGGAGGGAATGGAGAAGGCGAATGTTTTAGCGGTTCATAAAAAGGCAATAACTCTGGGGTTGAAGAGCTCTCTTATATTTGAAGCGATTCCTCTAATTCACCTAATTATTCTCTCCAGTTTTTATGTACCAGATAGGAGCACAAGACAGAACTTGGTAATGATGAAAGGTAAGAAATAAGGCATGATATTAGCCAAACCCAAAGCGCTATGACGGTACACAATGGGTGATTCGCTGAGGTCAAGTGGTAGTTACAAAGCAATTAGTAGGAAAATCCCAAATGCGAGGCAAAAGTAATTAGAACGAAGAATATAAATGATTGGGCTACTAGAAAATTGTGGATTGGGTAAAAGTAGCATCCAGGCGGCCAAAGAATTTCAGGCGTAGGAAATTATTATAATTATGCCCAAAATCCTATTTTCTATGTGTGCAATATGCCTTGATTGTATGGTGAGGTCAGAAAAAGAGGTGTAAAGACTATGCTTCCTTCTTACTGATTACATGCATTAAAGATATTTTGTGAAAGGGAACAAATTCGCCAGCACATACCATCCGAACGCGTTGCAGATTAAATTAATAATTAAAAATAAAGGCGTTTCAGTTGTGAAAAGACCTTTGTCACTTTGCAGGTATGCATCAAAATTCAAATGTAGAGACACTTTTGAGATCGTAGGAAAAAGGCATAAAGATTCACAAATGACCGCTTCAGTAGATTCATCGTTACAATAACTAAACTATTTCACTACTGCAAGAGAAGTGATGTGGGACTGATAGTGAGTTTCAAGAAGAGTGAGCCAGACGACTTTGGATTTTGAGGTCTAGGAGCTTAATTCTTTCGCAAGCGACGGCAAGGCCACCGATTCTACGTCTATACCGAGTTACTGTAAACAATGAAAATGAAAATGGTATACGATCGATCTCTAAAGAAAATTAACCTCTCTCGCTTAGATCTTTCAAAACAATTGACTAACCTCCTCTGCAGATGAGAGCTTCTTCGTTGGAGTTATTTCTTCTTGCCCCGGTGCCCCCTCTCCTTCCTCCTGCAGCTTTTCATGATCAGATTCACCCTCTTTCTGTAAGGTCTCCATTGCCGCCCTCTCCATGGCTATAGAGAATCGTGAAGTGCAGGAGGCGAAGGCATGGAAAAGCGCCTCATCAGGCAGTTCCTCACTCTCTCTGCTGCCACCACCACCACCACCACCAGCTGACGTTTCAGCAAGGCTTATAGCAGAGTGCAGTCGCTCAGCAGTTTGTCGTGCGTCCGCGGCTGTAAGCGTCGCGTTCACCTCCTCACCGGGAGTCGCGACATGACCCAATTCATTTAGTTGCTCCTTTGATACCGATCTTGAGCATTCCGATATCACGGAACTGGCAGATGACGGGGAAGCGCTGGGAACGCCAAGGCAGGAGTGGAGGAATTCGAAGTCGAGATCTTCATCGTCCTCCACTTCATGCTGATATCTATCGGTACGAGGATCAAAGTATGAGCAATCCTCATCATGTTCCAACTGTGGCACAAAGGCGGCCTTCTGGCAGAGGAGGTTACGCCAATCCAGACCCTCGAAGAATGGGGCTGCTTTAACTTCTGCGGCACCAGTTTCTGTGCCCAAACGTAGCAGCGGATCTCGCTCGAGAAGTTGAGTTATCAGTGACGTTGACTCCAGAGAGAGGCAACCCTCCTCGTCCTCAGCAGGCAATTCAATTGGACCTAGTTCAAAGGACCGTTAAATATAAGTAATATGACGAACTAACAAAATAGTCAATGGACTACAAAATCCAGTCTACCATGCATTATTCTTCGACTGTTAAAGTGCATTAAATATTTACTGTTCAAATTCTCTTCATTTCTGTCAACTTATGAAATAAATAATGCTGTAATACAGAGCAAAAAGGGGGCTTAGCTCAAGCTGCTTTCGACAAAAAGCACTTTCGTTTAACATCCGGATATACAAACAGAAATTTACAGGTGCAGTGAAGTAGAAATAAAGTCTAAACAGATAGAAGTAATAAAAGGGCAGGGATATTATTTTCATGTGAAAATATTAATTCCCCATCCTACACCCTAAGACTTGCACTCAGAGACCCATTTCAAGATTCGTTGGGTGATTGAATCGCTCAGAGTTTAAACATAGTGAGCTATGGATATGCAATTAAAAAGAGGCTACGTCTATCATTTTATCATCGTCACTAAAGAGATGAAGAAAACGATATGAGATTGGAAGAAATTAGGCGCAAATATGCATTAACTCATTTTTGGACTTTTGCTAGCGTAGAAATTCAATGGGTTTGAGTTAGTTGTGTTTATATTTGATAGCATTAGCATCCAGGGAACGCTAAATTATCGGTCAGCGTGATAAGCCGCCTTGCAAAAGTACATCAAGTTGCCAAGCTCCACTTGCCTGAGACAATCTGGGTAAAAAGTTCTTCAATGGTTTCGCCAAAAAACGGTACACATCCAATGAGAAATTCGTAGAGTATAATACCGGAGGCCCACCAATCCACAGGTTTGCCTAAATAACAAAACAAAATCTCAAAGACAGGAGAAACAGTGGGGTGTTTTGACAAAGGACCGCCGATAGTTGAAACGGCCGAGTTCAGCTCCTGAAAGGCCATTTGGCACGATGGCGTATGCACGTGAGTCGAATATTGTTGATGATAGCACGCTAAGCAATGAAATACTACATAATCACAGTGTATTTCACCCTTATACTGAAACAATGATATAGTAAGTATCTAACAAGGCACGGCGACTCATATTAATCTCCGTTAGTGTCAGGCTTATTTTGGCTAGAATATCATGAAGCAAGGTTGTAATTTGACAAGAAACACCTCGGTCGTTCATAGAGCGAAAAGAATTTTAAGGAGATGATGAAGTGAGTTAGCATGACATTGGTGGATGAAGAGAAACGATGACGAGACATATTGTGAGCCAAGTCCAACTAATGCGTGTTGTTACAAACTCGAAGGGAGTACAGGCGAACTTCTATTGTCTTAAGGTCTCACCTCTACCTCGGAAGCATATTAGATTAGCGTTAGCATTGTATTGATGAATCAGCATTTGCGTATAGCTGAACATGGAGGAGCTTTTCTCGAGACATAAATTGGGATCCATTCTGGATATTATTATATGTTGAAATCCAACGAATTAAAAAGACATGTGATTTACCAAAAAAATCTAGTAACAAATTCAAAAATTAATGGGCTGCCTAGCGAAAAATTTTCATAAAAGACGTTTTGACTAACCGTAGCCCTGTCTGAGGATGACTTCGGGTGCGATATATTCCGGGGTACCAAATACTTGCTTATCTCTAAACATTTTGCAGTCCTTTTCGAGATCAAGGCTGCGTTCGTAAAAGTTAGTCGCCATATTCATTAGTCCGATGCGCGAAAGTCCAAAGTCGGTTAGTTTAATATGGCCTTCATGAGTTATGAGTAAGCTGGACAAAGGATAAAAAGAATTATCCTATTCTTAGCAGATTAAAATTTCACAGTCAAGGGAATGACAGTAATAAATCCGTTTCATGCATTTATTCTCATACCAAGTACCCAGAAAATGTATGCTACAGATGAAATGTTTGAGAGTAATTCAGTGACAGTTATTGATGAATCAGTCATGAAGGTCACCTGACAAATAGTGCAGAAAGAAACTGATTCCACTAACGTGAATAGAGCTACAGTGATAGTACTGATCGTAAAAATAACGGGGGGAGGTAATAAAGAGAAGAGAACCTAACAATTCCCAATAAAGTAGCCTCAAGTTAAACGCTTACTTATCAGGTTTCAAGTCGCGGTGCACAATTCCATAACTGTGCAGGTACTCTAGAGCCAGTACCAATTCAGCAAAATACATTTGAGCCAAATCGAGAGGGAGAGGTCCTCCGATGTTCTTCAAGAGTGTGGCCACATCTCCGCCCTCAACAAATTCCATAACCATGCAGAGACTCTTCTTTGTCTCAAAGGTGCAGTAGAGGCTCACCACAAAGGGGTTGTCAGCAAACGAGAGAATGTCCCTCTCGGCAAACACCTGTTCCACCTGGTTCCGCAAGCGCAAATGCTGCTTTGGCATCTTCTTCATACCAAATCGCTGACGAGTGTTTCGGTCACGCACAAGAAAAACAGCTCTGAGAAAAACAAATCAATTGAGACATTATATATCAAGTAGGTCAAAATGAGGCTGCCTTGCATAAATCCAGAGAAGGTAGAAGGAAGCAGTCGTTATTTAGTTGTTCTTATCCCAAGGCAAACTACCATTAAATTACTGACGCGAGATAAAAATGCAAATGACCTATCCTATCCAAGTAATGAGCTATTATGTGGCATAAATGTGCCCCCGACGGCATTCCGAAGTGATGCAAGAAGGGGAATTAAGGGCGGGCTCACCCATATGCGCCGTTAGAGATGAGTTTAATAATTTCAAAGTCTGCTTCACAAGGCCTCCATCTGAGTGCATGGGTTTCAGTGGTCTCCGAGGCAGAAATATGTGGAGCGGGCACGGAAGTGGGTGACTTCATTGGTGCGATGGCTGAATGCAGCGAAGTGGAGGGAACAGAAGCTTCCATAAGGGTAACTGTGGGAGTGGGCGGGCTGGAGATTACACGGTCGCACGGCTCACCGTCCGTCAGACCTTACCGTAAAAGGCGATAATTTATTAACTGGTTTTAACTTATCCGGTTAAGGTTTTGTCAGGAACATCAATGGCTGCTAAAATTAGCACGGCGGAGATCAAATGTGACCTCAGTGGCTAAATGACATGAAATTTGCACAATGGTATGCGAAACGACAACACAACCATTAAAAAATGGCAAACGACCATTCATGGTGCACGGCAGATGAAAAGACCATACGGTGAAAGGTAACATGGGCATGATAGGTAACTTGGAAACAAATGTAAAAGATGCTCTTTTAGGAATATTATTACAAAATGCGACTTGAGTGTAATAAAAAGGCCTCCATGAATGGAGGAAGCATAGAATGCAGACGATCGCTTAGAAGAGGTTAGAGAAGCACAACTGAACACAATCATGTTTAAAAGTGATCCTTGAATAAGTGATAAAAACAACTAGAAGTTCTGTTTATAGTAACTTAAGCGTAATCCGATAGTCCTAATTTACTCTAACACAAGTATCCACATGTCAGGATAGCCGACTTGATTTATTTTTAGGACGAAAAGTGTCGCGTCAAGTGTAAAATTTTTAAAACAAATTAAACGGCTGAACTGCAGCTGTCGATAAAGCAATGATGGTATGCCACTAATCTATAGAATCACTCCTTAGAAAGGAACACACCTTCAGGGTTTGTTGCAGCTGGCTTGCTGAGACCTAGCTTAGTGATTATGTACCGAGGCACATCAGGGCAGAAGATTTTATTAGAATCACTCTGTTGCCTGACTTGGGTTTCGGCTACCTCGAGCATTTGGTAGAATTCACAGGGGTCAAATTCAAGGCACTCCAGTAGACGAGCCGGCCGAGCAATAATCAACAGCAGCCGATTGCACATGTTGGTCACACAGGCTACCGAATCCGGACACTTGGCACGGGTCTGGAATGTGAAAAAAAGATGAGCAGCACACTTCAGGCGCAAAAATACACCGGCTAGAAATTTTGGTGGAATAGAGGAACCATCAAGTGAATTCTAACTCACCAATGTGGAACAATAAAAAAGAACAAGGGAAAATTTCTTAACAAAAAACTTAAAACTTACATCAGTAACGAGTTTTTCTAGTTTTTCAGTTATCTCAAAGAAGTATCGACACGTAATAAGACCAGCTAGTGCCTTCTCTAGGCAGTCACGTGCCAATTCCAACACCTGTCTATGCATAAAGCGTGCCACTGCCGTCCACGAAAACGTATCCTCTTGCTCCATTTCTTCGCACAGGTGTGCCAGATTGTCTTGCATTTGTGCCGACGCCTATGAAGAACCAAGATACATCAGTTATAAAATCGATGCTATTTTCAATACTGGAAACGATCGCATGCAAACATTAGTAAAAGGCGTCCCTATCATATGGCACCAAAGGCTTAATCAACTACGCTGTCAAGGTCAGGATGGCCGTTAATAATGCTTTGCCAGCAGATAAAAGTGAAGATTGCTAATCAAGACAGGAATAATCAATCTAATGGGTCTCCTTATGCACTGACGAAATTAAGTTAAATGAAATCTGGATATAGAGGGAAAAAATTCTCGTGACAAAAATAGTTTGTGATTTAGATATGTAGGAAGAAGTCTCTATAAAATTGTTTCGTTAAAATTAAGGCGCCCAATCCATTGCAAACGACCACAGTTTCATTTACCTTAGGAAAGCGTTCACGATAGACATGATTGAGAAGAAGTATGTCCTGTTCATTATTCGCTGCGGTCCGTACAGGACTGAAAAAAAAACGTTATAAATCAGAAAATATCATTACGCCAAATAAAAGATAAAAACAAGTGGTCAGAGAGGAATAAATATCAAAAACTTCATCTAAAATATCTGACTCTCATTAGAATAGAAAGATGAGGAGATAAATGCGCTGCAGAAGGTAACTACATAGCGAATGGGTAACTACACACACCTCAAGCTCTTGGATCTCTGTCGACTGACGGAGAGGAAAGCCGGTGAATTGTGAATCGGCGGTTGAGACGGGGAGAGTGAGACCCCAGCTCTGGCCATTTTGATCGAGGGAGGTACGGGAGCATCCGACTCGGAGAGAAGCAGTGAGGGCGCCAGTGTCTGCGGCTGTTGTGATAGCGGGATTGAAGGTGGAGGTGTCTTCCCCTTCCCCGCCTTCGCGCATTTGCTGCAGAGCTGGGGAGAGGGCGTGCCCCGTTTGATGGGGATACCCGCAGCGCAAATGGAGGGGTCCTCAACAAGGTCCACAGAAGGTGCAGCAGAGCCCACGGTGAGACGAGCAACACTCCCCGCAGGACGGGTAACGGGAGTAAGGTTGGGTTGTGGTGGTTTGGGATGAAGCTGAGGTCTCAGTATGGGTGAGTCACGTTTCCTGGAGGGCGAGGCGGACTCACCTGTCATGTTTACTGGACTGGCCGCGAAAAAGGCAGTGGGAGCAGCAGTAGCTGTTGCGATGGTGGCTGTAGTAGGAGCACCACCCACTCCAGGGCCACAGTGGAGGGCTGGGTGACGATGCGCACCCTCTATGTTCTCCTTTGAGGAGTAATGACTCTGAGAAAAAAGTACTTTCTTAAACGCATGCACTGCATTTCCATATCCATCGTCTTATGAGCCGATAGACTCATTCTCATATCCAATAAGGCTTTGAAGCGTTGCAACAGAATAGTTAAAAAGGGGTGGAATAGTAGCAATATCAAATTGAAATTTCCGAGGCAACAAGTGTTTAACTCAATAAACCAGTATGTAGGCGAGAATTGCTAACCTCTGGCTCTATCGAATACACCTTGCTATTCTGTGTGGCATGACCATCCAGTCGACTAAGGATAAAGTTAGGAGACTAATATATTTTCTTTCAAAATGAGGAGGGTCAAAAGTAAAGTTCAGTATAAAAAACTGAAACCAACACCACAAAGTGCGCATACAGAATTTCAAACAGCTGAACACATCAAATGAGAGAATAAATCTTCCAGAATAGACCACACATATTGTCGAACTTAATAAGAGGCAATCATCCCCATGAGTTAAACTGAGAGTACTAGTGGACAGGAGTACGTAAAAAATAGCGATGAAATTTATCTATTACACTGCGAAATCACTCTAAGTGACTAGAATAACAAATAGACATCAGAAGTAAGGCTAACGATAACGACGAATTTAGGGGGCAAATGACTTGCACTTAAGTAAAGTTCAAATGGAAGACATGGAAGCAGCCAACAATGAGGAAAAGCTCAAAGGAAAATTGAATTTAGCCTCTGGCCCATTTAAAACGCGCGACATTAATGTGACACAAATTACCTCGTTGGTCTCTTTCAAAGGCCACTATCACTACAGGTACGCAGATATAATGCATTCAACAGAATTCATTTCCTCCCAACAAAGAAGCAGAATGGAAGAGCTTTAGTCGGGTGGAACCATGAAGGAAACATTTTCAGAATACGCAGGTAACTTGGAAAAACATCTCAAGAATTGAGGGAACGTATACGATATGCTAAATACATACCGAAACATTGCTCGAACCCGCAGTGTTAGTTCCATAACCAGAAGAGGGCAGTGAGGCTAGAGACCATCTTCGATTTTCTGAGGATCTAAAATCCACAAAAAATTGTCATTTAAAAATAAACGACTACCTGTGTGAATGTTTGTAGACATGCGCAAGGAATGTGATATGCATGCACGTGCCCCGCCTTGAGAAAAACCAATATTGATAGTAGAAAAGAGTGGATCCCTGCTATCAATCAAGCATAAGCTACATTTAAATTGAGTAAAAGACAATAAAAATGCATCCTTCTACACTAGCTGGTAGAGTCATACGGAGACTGCGTACGCGCCTTTGCTGCTTCAAAGCTTTACAAAAAACAGTCCTCCAAGTCAAGCTAAAAATTCCTTTAAAAATTGTATTAAACTCCATTGGATTCAAGAAACCCCTGATTAACCGGAGTCTTGTAAAACTTCCACAAAAGAGTTGCGCGAACAAAAAAGTAACTTAGCAACGGTTGACAGTTGGGGAAAGCACAAAACAAGGCGCTTACTGAAGTGATTCCAAGCGAAGGTGGGCTGGGAGGTTATGTGGCACATTGCGAAGGGGTGCTTGTGCCACCTCCACAAGAGAATTCCCACCTAAGTCAAAAGTGAAACAAAACTAGAGCGAAACGATATCTTGAGGATTCAAAAGGCTACTATAAAACCACCTAAATGATAACTCTAAATCGCTGTTTTTAGGTAAGTAGGAATGTAAGTTAAGCAAGAAAAAGAAATGGACGAGGAAAATCTGTTAATTATCAAAATTAGTTCAAGCATCCAATCATTGGCCTCGTCCTAAAAACGAAACATGGGAAAGGGGAAACTAAGGAAGGCATTCAAGCAGCAGGAAATTGATTTCTTAACGGGAAAATTCTCCGTCACCCTCAAGAATGCACAGATGACTGCAACAAACAAGTGGATGCATCAATGTTGCAACAGAGGCTCAACCTATTAGTGGAAAGCAAATGCTGAAAAGTGGGCGCAATGAAGGCATGCAAACAAATCTAAAACAATATTGAAACGCAGTAAACTCACACTGGTGACAGACGCTAACGGCACTAGTATTGTTACCACGATTTGGAAAGGAGGAGCGCTCTTTGTTGGGAGGTGCTAACACTGGACTGGGTAAAATTTGTGTTGCAACGGCTGTCTCCTCAACAGGGACCATGCGCAGTTCGCCCATTGCGGTGGCAAGCGCAGAGGGCTCGGCTGAAGAGAGCGGAGGTCGTACAGTGGAAGTCGCGAAGCGGGGACTTGGACTAGCTGGTCCTGCCGAGAAAGCGGATCCTAAGCGCAATGGTCCATTCGCAGGACGAACAGGGCTCACTTCCATGGGTACTATGGATGTAGTGGTTGGTGGCATCGTAGTCACAGACGAGGGGTCGCCACCGCTGAGAAAGCGAGATCGCGAATGGCCTAAGTGATGTTGTGGGGAGCTACATACCACTTTAAGACGTCGAGCAGAGTGTGAGGTGTTTGCAGAGTTAGCAGAAGTAATATCTGGCACTGTTCTGTTAAGGCCCTGCAGACCGGAGATGGAAGCGTTCGAATCAGGGTAAGCGTCACAACAGTACGTTTCACGCTGAGAAAGAAATGGGTAGGAAAACCACTGACAGAAGTCGACAGGTGAATTTTAAGGGACAGCCCCGCTTATGTTTAATGCGCGTGATTCAAAAAGTAGATGACAACAATAATCTCAAAAAGCTGAACTACTAAGACTCGAGCATTATTAATCACTTCGAATAATCTTCGTTGAAGGAGCTGCACTTACGCGAGTTTTGAATGCAAGCAAAAAAGGACAAATTTCCAAAATAACTAGTTACACATTACGCGATGTGGATCAGAACTTGCAAAAGCATATAACTCGAATACTGGTACAAGCGCTCATGACAGGTATGTGCATGCGTAGTTCTCAGTTAAGAGACACCAGACCGGGAACAAACTAGTGCATTTAAAATCGAGGTTTTTGATTATTCATCCAAAATAACTGTTCGAATAATCCTAAAACAGAGATAATGAGGCACAAAAACCAGTCGCTAATGCATCTTGAGAAGCCTAGGCGCAAAATTAAGAAATCCACAAACTGTAGGCTTGACATTTGAGCAGGAGGGTATATAATCGCAAGTCAGCACACCGCAAAACTAAAACCAAAGTGTAAAATAGGAAGCGAAATGGAATGGCTACTGAGCCGGCAACTTGCTTTATGCACCGAATTTCACCCCTGCACATGAAAGTTTCACAAATCAGTTCCACACATCTAGTGTATGCAATAATAACAGCGTCATAAAGCGTCGAAAAGCAACACCGTCTTTAGCCAAAAAACAGTTCTACTCCGAAAAAATGTAATGGCAAGCAAACAATGTCATTTTAACTAATGCCGAGAAATAAATAAGTCGATTGGATAAAACCATAAAGACTAACTACTTAAATAAGTCATGCTCCATAAACTAGAATACGATTGTCGACACTAAACTTCCGAACGTTTTAAAGAATGCAGCCGAAAAAAATGTATAGTAATAATATTGACAGCTTCGGCACGGATTGTAATCACAAAGCAGCTACTACACATTTAATGTGAAGCAAGAGGTGAGGTTAACCAAGATTATGCTATAACCGAAGGTCAATTCCGAAGAGAATTAAGCTAAACAAAACCGAGCCACATCGCTGATAGATTGGACGAACTCAGAAGCCTTAATCGAAAAGAAAACCGTCTTCAATTTGTAACAGTTTTAAATTGTTATAAATAGTAATGAAAATATCCTCAATTGACGTACGCAACCAAAGAAGAGGTTAGGTGCTGACTGACCCATGCAAGCACGCTTCATTCTGAGAAGATTGCTCCCCGATGAATGGTCTACCATAAATCAAGCAAGAATAAATGATTTTTCAACGATTTTTACCGTGGAAATATTATGAGTAGTACTTATAAAATAATATGCTGATAAAATTAACAAGCCAAATTAATGAGAGAAATAGGCTCATACAAAACTTGATACTTTTAATGAAAGAAAAAAGCAAAGTGACTTCAAGATGGTAAACAAACTTGGAATAGAGACGCAACCTCCAGTTGCTGGACTTGTAATAGACGGGGGATTGCTGAGTTGTGATTGATGCACCGGTGGCATCAGGAGGAGAGACGACCGGTGAGAAAGCGAAGAAGTGGCGCCAAACGGATTGGCCGCATCCCATACGCTACCACCCCCACCCCCAATCATTCGATTACCACAGGATCGTTCTCCAGAGGGCCTACGATGCTTGTCAAAAAAGCAGAGTTGTGGGGAGACGGAGAAAAGCGAGGCACTAGCTCCTGTGGTTAGCACTGGGGCTGGAGATGCTCTTTCAGTAGTAGTAGAATTTCCAACAGCTTCCATGGAGGACAAAAAGTGTGTAGGACTAGGAACGTTCACCGAAAGTGAAGCTGGTCGGAACCGAGAGAGGCGATATGAGTCAGCTACACCGCAAGAAGCGGTGCGCTGAAGAACAGAAACCAACTCATCTGAGCCGGGTAGCGCTTTTGATACAAACGCAGGATGCTTGCGTTCGAGGTTGGAAGGAGAAGGTGAATGAGTCACGTAACTGCTACACTCTCCTTCCTCCCTCGCCTTCTCCTCGATTCCGCTTCTGTGATCGGCTTCATCAAGACCAATATCATTGCAACGGACGATCGGACTTCCACTGAGGCTCGAGCTCAGGCTACGATTTATTGAGGAAAAATCTGAGAACTAGAAAATAAGAAAAATTAGAAAAAAATGAAATGGGATGCCTTTAACGAACTGGGCCCCGGTGACATGATATAGCCTCTCAGCCGGAGAGATGACCGGCGCGTACCAAGACCGGGAATCGAAATTCCGACTCCATCAGGTTCATCAGAAGATACTGATACATTTAAACTATTTCGACGACTGGCTAATAGTCGATATCGAGTACGCTCCTGAAATTCGGCTAACTGTTGAAGTTCATTTTTTGGGTCACCATATTGATCGCTGATTAGTGTGTGGAAAGCAGCGCGCCTAGAAAGCTGAAAGTCGCGTCTTTTTTTCAGCGCTCCATCTTCGAAGTCATGCATGTCGTGAGTAAAAACGCTGTAAATGTGCAAGACTATGGTATTTATTACGCATGAAATGAATGGATGCGAGGTGCCAACGCGTGATAATTGGTGAAACATACACGTCCTATCACACAAAAGCAGAACTTAGTGAAGTGGGGAGTGCGTAAGGCAACGCAAATATAAATACTGTCATGCAGAAACAGCTCAATTAGGCACTATAAGACAGTTGAACCAGTATTGGAGCTGTTATCATGAAGTGATCATGCAACTTTTTTGTAACAAAAGCCACGATGCAAAAGCCCGTGAATGCAAGATTGGAAGAACAAACAAATAAACGTACACGACGATCTCTATACGGCACCGCAGGGCTTTGAGAGGATTGGCTTCCTTGACGATAGTTTTGAAGAGCATTCCAAAGACGATCGATTTCCACTGTACAAAGTGATTCGGCAAAGATCGATCGAAGTACATCACGTGGGACAGGTAAGAGGTCTTCAAGGGCGCACTCATCGGAGAGGCAGTGCAACGCTTTATCTAAGTCGTTTTCTTGAAGAAACTGGATAAGCCTTAGCCTTCCCTTAGGAGAACAATGGTTTACGGGAATTCTGCGTCTACGAAGCCCTGGACTACACTTAGCACTGCGACTGCGGTCAGACATTCCAAAGCATGTGTCAGAAAGTGTAGTTTTGGCTGTGAATTGTCCTAACTCAATGAGAGAATTCGATATTCTTCATGTAACACTACATTACCGATCAATCTCCTACACCAAATGCGAGATGTTAGCAGAAATTGGAAAACATCATCAACCAATCAAGTTGGCGTAATGGCAATGAAGCCTCCTTTTGATGACCTACAAGAAACAAAACTAAAACATTAACCGGTAAAAACGAGCTAAATTTTAAACGACCTAAGAATAGGAACACCACAATATTAATAAGAATTAATGAAGTTCTCAAAAGGAAGCTATACGCTGTCTGTCATAAGCACAGATTGAAATTTTTTCTAGATGCATCAAAACATGTGCCGGAAACATGTGTATCTATTTATACACGTTATAACTTAAGGTTGTAAACCAAGCTGGTCTGCAGTGGGAAAAATATAAACTCATTACACTTTGGAGCACCGTCTACAAATGTGGGACACAAATAAATAAATAAATAAATAAATAAATCGCTTAAGGTCTCCTGCTTGCGAACAGGAGGTTTGGGTAACTGCCTACTTTCAGGCCGCGAGGCCTCGGACCTCGGGTTAGTTAAGGAAGCTTTGTTAGGCATCATGTACAGAGGGAAAGGAAACGGGGAGAGGGAATTGATGAGACGGGAAGCCGATGTCACCACGAGAAGGTCTCTTCACTATCCTTACGAATTAGATTCGTTTTTCAATTGCTTTCCCGCCTCAAACTTATAAATTCTAACGTCCTAAAAATCCCCGTTCGGTAAGAGAAGTCAGTGAGCTTGGTTACTACTTGTATTCGGACAGAATGTGTTGAAGTGAGGCTATGACATGGCCCAAAGCACACTTTATATAGGAGAAGCAAAACAGTCACCTAAGCGACCATATCATACAAATAGTCACAAAAATAATTAATTTCATGAGGGAAAGTTGAATACTTATATTTGTGGATGAAAAGTTATGGGGATGTGCCTTAACTCAAATATCAGTACACCCGGCAGAAGCAAGATGACAGCTCAAGTGACCACTATTTGTACAGATAATTGAAGAAACAGTGCAAAATGGTCCTTTTCTTCTTTTAAACCAACTATCTGGCTGTTTTCTCGGTACGTTACCTGAGCATTAATCACAGCGTATTCAGGGCTGCGAGAAAACTACTATGAGCTGGCTGACTTTGTTATCAGCTCTATTGTTTTTTTCTGGAATGTATCTAGCCCTCCAAACAGCTTCTCCCAAATTCGAAATGTGTTAGGCCTGGAAAAAATAAGCACTCAGATACTTCTGTTTACCATCAAGCGTTTTAGAGAAGACATTGGAACCTCTTTGTGTGGGGTGGGGGGAGCGTTTCTTGTAATGATATTGCCGATCTCTAATCGCGAGCGTGAAACAGGAAATCTTGCAACGAAGCTTTTTACAGTGGTTCACGGCGATGTAGTTTTAGCTGCTAGAAGCTTGTCAGTGGTACATTGGATTATAAATAGAAGCTAAGCTTGGCCATAGTGCTCAGCTCCTTTTCATAAAGATGCTGGCGCATGTCTATCAAAAAAAATTCTGCATCTACATCAGAGTTTAGGTCGTAACAATGTCGAGTTTGAGTTGGACCGCCAACATAGTAGATATTCCGAGTGTAGCATCCTGAGACTTCCTAGCCGATATAAGATGTTAGTAACTACAACTGGATACATGTGTTCCGAATATGATAGGGCAAATGGTCCTGGGCATGGTCCGAAGGCCAGCCCACGTATACAAGGGTCAGACAAATCCTAAAGTGACCGCCAAACGTCAGATAGTCACACAAACCAAGTATTACATCGAGATTCTCGAATTGGTAGTAGCAGCCATGGGACAGCTGGGTACTTGTACTCAGAGAAAACTGAAAACTTGGATCTTGCTTGGTCTGAAGATCGGCCTGCTTTACCAGAATAAACATAGACACTAACGTGATATCTAAATATACAGATAGTCAGATAAACAAAATATTGCAGGAATAAAACGAGTGACTTATCATTGATAAAATTGGTTCTTTGCTGTCTGTTCGTGTAACGGCCATTTGCGTGCTTGTACTGCTTTGCTAAAGTAATCCTACCTCTAGGCCACACAGACAGTTTTGGCCTTATTTTTCCTGCGAATGTTTGCACAAATATAACGCTTATCCATTTTCCTGCCTTGGTGGTTCATGCTTTTGCCTTAAGTGTAGTTTTAGGACTCTTCAATTTTAATTGTAGTTTCTCGTTGAAAATTTCACTCAGTCAGAAAAAGAAACAATCACAATTTTTTCCTTGGTCCTAACTATAACACTAGGTAGGTCAAATAAATTTGCTCTAAGAAGTTCGAGGCCTTATTCTCTTACAGTTACTAAGACATCATCGGAATACGTATTTCTCGAGATAACCAGTCCCGAAATTTTGTAGTAGATGGGTTGGAGTAGACGAGAAAAGAGGCAGTCTTAGACGGGTGTTGTCCTCCTATATATGAGAAATAGTATTCCAAATAGGTGTTTAACTGCACCTTGTAGATCAAGGTGTGGATTCAGATTGAAGGTGATTCTCGAGGAGGGGCACTATGTGTCTGGTGTGTAGCATGGCTAGACATTCTCCGTATCTGTCTGTGCTTTGACTTTTTGCCACTACGCCAAAATGAGCGTCTCGCAGCCGATGAACTCTCGAAAAGCTTTTTAAGAGAGAAGTGTAAGAGACTAACGCAATGCTAATAGAAATCCTGCAATATTTTTGAACTCATTCTTACTTCGCTTGTTATGAAATCTTTAGGGAAAGAACAGTGTTACTGGGGTGCTGGAACATGACCAGAGGATTGCAGCGGGAACGAAATGTACGTAGATCGGCGGGATAAGCATATGCTCAAACAAATGCGCATACTTCCTAACCCCTTATCATTCAACAATTTATTTTTCATGACATCAACTTTGTTACTAAACCATCATTGCAATGAAGCATGCAAAGACCTAAAAATTGCTTTAAAATGACCATTTACAGAATTGCTAAACTGCTTTATATAATTTCTATTTCGAAATGTAGACAGTATCTGCAATATTCATGCTACTGTGTTTAAGTTGTCCATATAGGGGAGGGGAGGTTGTTCAATTCGAGCACGAATCCCGTGCTTAGAGAACGCGGGGATCCTTCCCCGAATTTGCAGCATTTGTTTGAGCAAATGCTTATCCCACCAATCTTAGTACATTTCTCCCCCGCTGCAATCCTCTGGTCATGTGCAAGCACGCTGGTGACACTGTTCTTTCCTTAAAAATTCTAAAAGTTGCATGGATATTAAAGACGCAAAAATTCAATCATCTTAACCGTCGATTTCATAACAAGCAAAGTGGCAATGAGTTCAAAAATATTACAGAGAAAGTACCTTTAAAAATGGGAATAACAGGCATCCAGGATGGCAAAGTACCTGTTGCGTGGAGCTGGAGTCAATGTGACGATTTGAGGTTCTCAAAATCAGCCCTACTCAAAACTGGGAACAAGTAATTAGTCAAAGCACCGAACTCATTTTTACATGGTTGAATGTCATAATCCCAAGCTCATTGGCCATTTTCCGAGAAAAGTGAACTTATCTTTGTCTCTTCAATCGTACAAAGAAATGCAATGCTGAAGATTCAAAATTTCGAGCACTTGTCTCTGCCTTTGGCCCAAGTAGAGACACTGGCCCTGAGCGCAGTGCAGCACCCAATCAGCTTGTGCTATCAAAACAGAGTATGCCAATCCTTTTTTGCAAACTTCTAAGGTACAATTTCAGCCAAGTGGGATAGTACTAGATGAAAGACCACCGATACCGATACCTGTATTTCGTACTGATATTTCACATGGTAAATTGATGCATACAATGTCCATCCTCACTCCGAAGGTATTTTACCGTTTTCATTTCTTTTATTTAAGCACTCGTGTTATCTTAGCTGAAGAAAACAAGATTACCTATTTGCCTTCATCTACATTTAAGGCTAAACTTTTAATTAGCTTCTGTGAGTTTGATGAGCCAGAATCGACCTAGACCACCAATGGTCATTTCAAACAAAGCTTGGACTCTCGGCTAGATGGCATGCAGAGTTGACTCCAAATGAATTGAAACAATTCTTTAAAGTGGCACTGTATGAGCTGAGGCTCCCGTCTACCTGCATCGGCAAGTTAAATCCCGATCTTTCCTTGAGGTCCTACAAACAACCAAGACAAACTAGGCACGATAAGGATTTGGCTTAACATTCTGATTCAATTAATGGGCGCATGCCTCCAATTCCTAAATAACATCTAATGATAGGATCTTTCTGACATGTTCCCAAAGTGGTAGGCGAATCTACAAAACTAACCAGAATGACCATGGAACTTTACAAACCGTGCAAACAACTATTTGAAGCTGATATTATAAAAGCTATAGCAAATAAAAGGAGCTATAGGAGCCTTACTAAACCCTGCAAATGGTAGTAACAACAACTCTCTCAGCACACTGCCAGGAGGAATTTCAGTTACACGTAGACGGAATAGTTAATTGGCATATGTATACAGCAACTCAAAAGTGTAGGGATGTTGACAACACCACTAGACATGCATTCTGAATGTCACAAAAGGTATGACTATGAATTTCTTTATAAATACCAAGGAATGATAAAATTCCCGAAAGCACACGTCCACCGAAAAAGTAAGCAGCTGAGCTTACAAACTCCACTGGAAGAACCACGGATTACGTGGCATAAACAAATTTGTTTGTTAGTTTGTATGTTGAAGCTAGTAAGGTCTACCATATAAAATTAATACACACTTTTTTTAATAAAGAGGTCATTCAATCATGTTTCGCAACGTTTTCAACAAAAGTGTAGCAGATGTGTATTAGAGGATCTGATGAGACTTTTAGTAGCTTGGTTTTGAGCTTGAAGTTGTCCTTAATAATTGGATATGCGCATAACCAATTAAACATTGGATACTAATTCCTTTTTCACAAGATTACGGAAATTTTCCCCGTGGGACTTACCAG